CTGGACAATCCAGACCCTCCTTGACCCTCAGTGAGAGCAGTGTGTGCGGCACAAACAGGGTAAATTGATGGCCACGGTGCTAAAGCTCCGGGCAAGTGGGATGTTTGTTTTCTAGATGTCTCCTGGCAGGCCCATGGGGACATAAGCCTCCTTAAAATCCAAAGGTATTCATAACCTTATAACGGGATTTTTGTGCATTAAAGATAGGTTACTAGTAACACCAGGAGTCTTTTGCCTTCTGAATCTTTTAGACCAAGGTCTTTTCTGCATGCCTTTGGGATTGGTCTTAAGGATTCAACTGAGATACAATTTTCTAATCCAGGCTTACAAAAAACTACTGTTGTCCCTTCTGTTGTCTACCCATGGGAATGAATCCTACACTATGTCAAGAGAGGAATTCCAGCTTATAAATATCCAAAATTTTGGCAACGTTGCCCCGACCCAGGCTAATTTCATAATCGTGCTCTAAAGAGATCCTTCAAAGCCTTTGAATTCTTCAATTTTGAACCTCACCATTTATCTCAACATCAAATTTTCTAGAATATATTTGGGTACTTTGATAACCCATGGTTACTGGAATGAACACAGGTCCAGTCTGCCTATGGTGTCTCTTCAGCATGATTTCGTAGCCTGCATTCTCCCAGCATTCACTTTCAATCTCCTGAGGGAGGGACGTATTACAGCCATTAGAACACCCTGTAGCAGTTAGAGTCAGCCATATTTGGTGTGGTACATCAGAACACACCTCCAGATATGCTTGCCTTTGTTCTGTGTTTTCTGACATTGACTCTGGGCTTGCCCATGTAACTTATTTTGACCAATGGGACTTTAGCAAACATGATGTACACAAAGAGAGACTCTTGCAATGAAGCTTTCCTTTGCAGCACTCCTTGGAGCTGCGCTGCACACTAAAGGAAAGTGTAGGTTATTTTGCTAGAGAGAAAAGCCATGTGGAAAGCCTCATGATGCTGCCTCACCACATAGGAAAACAGAGCACATGGAAGAGAATGGACACCACCTTTTAAGCATCTAGTTGGATGTAATTGCCTAATATCCAAATTTTCCCAACCAACACCTATTAGAGCAGGATAGTCAACCCACAGAATCATGAAGAATAATATATGGCTATTTTAAACTAATAGGATTTAGGGTTACTTGTTAGACAGCAACAGATAATTAATAGATTTGGGGTTAAATTCAGATTTGGGTGAGTTGTTCAAGCTTTTTTAATCCTCAGATTCTCCAGTTCTACGATACGGAAATAATTATATCACAAGGTTATGGAATGGATCAAATACTAAATATAAAGAATTTAGCTCAATGCTTGAGCCATAGTAAGTGTTTAATGAGTAGTAGGAATGATCATTAATCCCATCATCTCAACCATCACCAACATCATGACACAGCCGGCCACTGCCAGATCCAATGCCGTCACAAACGCCACCACCGTCACCATTCACACCTTCCTGACAGCTCGTGCTTTCTCAGTGACCTTTGTATCTACTGCTGTGGGGGGAAAATTCAATCTTTTTCACCAAGACATTTTTTAAAATCATAAACACACACAACACTTCTTTCATTATGATCAATGACAATGTTGAGTTAATAAAAACTCATTTCCATATTCCTTCACATGATTTCAGTAGATTACTAAACAGGTGAAGGGATTTGACAAGATCACTCAGAAAGCCAACAGAATGTCTAACATTTGAATCTCACGTCTCCTTTCTATGGATGCTAAAGTCTCTTGAAAAATTCTAGCCATTCTAAAAACAAGAGCCTTCGTCTCCCACTAAAAATGCATCTCAACGAGACATGCCATTTTATTAACCTCACCACTCTGTTCCTAGCACCTTAAACATTGCCTTGTACACAGATGCTGCTCTAGGAATGCTTGTGGAATACATGGATCAATGAACAGTTGCTGGTAGTTTAGAGGAGCACGTATTCTATAGCCAGAATGCTTGGGTTTTAATCCCATTTCTATTGCTCACCAGCTATGTGAACCTGGGAAGTTGAATACTTTGTGCTCCAGTTTGTTTATAATATAAAGAGGATAATAATAGCATTTACAATCTAGGAATGTTCAGGGACATGAAACTCTTCTAACAGTGCTTGGTATATAGTAACCACTGTATATTAATAACTCTTAGCATTAACAAAGCTCTTTGTTGAGCTTTGCAGATACATAGTATATATAAAATGTTGATTTTAATAAGGGGAATAAATAAGCGTATTGCATGAAGGTCAGGAAAAATGTCTGTGTGTAATCCAAAACATTGGCTTCCAAGCCCTATTCTTGATTAGAATAATATGGAATTATTTTAAATTATTAAATAATTTTTAATTATTTTAAAATTCAGATTCCTGCCTACTCCCCTTCCACTTTTCATCCCGTATATTTGTGACACTTATGCCAAAAGATCATGTTTGTACAGTCAGGTCTGCAATGCAGTGAATTTTAATCATGTGAGCTCAGGTCCATATCATTTAATTAGATGAGATATTTTGGTACAGGGTTTTTCCATTGACCTAAAAAATCTAATCATGTTAGAGGTTGCATTTTCAGCCCCATGTCCATACCATGTGTCAGGGGGATTTTCTTTATTCCTTTCTACCTTTCCCCTTCCTCCCTTCTGTCTTAGAGAGAAGATAACTACTCCTTTGTGATCGTGATCCCCCAGAACATGAGGAAAAGTGGATGGGGGCCAGTGGGTCCTGGCTACTCAAAGTGTGTGCCAGAAAGAAGCAACATCCTCACTGGGGAGGTTGGTAAAAATACAGAATCCCTAATGTAAGGAACCAGTTCTCAATTCTGTTCCCTTATGGAATCAGCAGGAAGCTGAAGCATCAATTTTGGGAGCCACACATCATTCCCCTTGAGAAATTGATTTCATGGGTCTGGGTGGGACCAGGTGTCACCAATCATTTTCAACTGTGCAGGTGATGATGATGTGCATCTAGTTTAAGAAACTATTCTGGGGAGAGAGTTTTGCCAGAACACTTCAAATTGATTTTGGAACTTCTGCTTCTACGTCCTTCTTCGAGCTCATCTAAGACTTGGGTCTTAGAAAGTCCTTCAGGTTTCCCTGAACGAATGGACTTGGCCTCTTGGCTCCATTCTTCATATTTTACTGATCTACTTTGCCAATTTGCCATCTCTGTTTATTGAAATCTCCGTGAGATCTGGCTAAGCCAAACGATTAGACTAGACAGCATTTACAATGTCAATAGGAACACGATACAATAACAAAAGCATTTTATTACATGTTCAAGGGATAAGTCAGATACTTTCAAGGGATAAGTCAGATACTTTCAAGGGATAAGTCAGATACTTTCAAGGGATAAGTCAGATACTTTCAAGCAGGGTAGTGATGATAATGTTTCCTTGTATTATGGTTAAGACCGCCTACACCACAGGACCATTGCTTTTATAATTTGAGTAGTAAAAGGTGATGATACGATTCTCTTTGGATAGATTGCAATATTAGAAGAATACATTTTAGTTTTGCACAATCTTAACTTTGTTCACTTAAAAATTGCTTGGCTTAGAGATTGACTTTCATGGATCCTTTACAGTTTACCCTGGACTACTCAGGTAATGTGAGGGAAAGCTGGCGTGAAGAGCTAGTCAAGACCCAGTGCGTTTTGTGTGTGGTGGAACCAAAACTGGGCATCTTTTCTCTAATCTTAAGATTGACCTTTACACAGTGAAATGAGCACACTAAAAATCAAATCCAAGTCAAATGCTTGAAACCTAACATCTTAGTGGAAGTCTCTTGGAGAGAATGCACAGGGGGAGAAATACTTTTTACTAACTGCTTTACTATTCAGTGTTGCCCTTAGACCAGAAGCTTTGGTATCATGTGAGGGTTTGCAGAAATACAGATCTTAGGCCCTATCGCAGACCTATTGAATCAGAATCTGCATTTTAATAAGATAGCATAGGTATTCTAAGACATATTAAAGTTTGAGAAGTATTGATGAAAGACATATTAAAGCTTGAGAAGCATTGATACAAGAAGACTCACAAAATAGATTTTTCTTCAATGTTTGTTTTCCCTAAATCACATCAAATACAGCCTTTTACACAGTTACCATAGTCTTTTTTACCCCAAATCTACGTAAATTTTTCTTACACCTTCAAACTGAATATTCTCCTTCCAACCAGCTGCCACTCCAGCCATCTTTTATTTTTCCAAGCAGGGTAGGTGACAGAAAGGGGGGGATGCAATGCAAAGCACACTGGCGTAACTTTCTCCTTATTGAAAATAAGAGAGAAAAATAATACAACCCTTTCTCTCAATCGGCTCTAAATTGGCACATTCTCAAGATAGTAAAATGGGTAACAATCAGATATAAAGTCTTTTCTTTGTAAGTCTGGAAATAAGCAGAATATTCTTGAAAGTACTGCTGTGAGTCCTCCACAGGCACACAGTATGTGAGGTTTATCCTTCCAACATAGACCAAATGGGAAGCAACTTCTCCAGAGAGTAAATGCATTGATAGAAGCTGCATACACTCCTCTTAGTTTTCAAAGAATAATCATGGTCACGCAGGGAAATTATATTTTAAGTTAAGGCATGTAAATTATTTTTCTTCTTTCTCTTCTTGTAAGGAAATAGAGCAAACAAAAATAATTGAATGTGCCCATATGTGTTGGGTGTTTCACTATCAATATAAAAAATATAAAATTTTCCTTTTGACTCCTGAAACAGTAACAAGAAGATACCACTTTTGTAACGAGAGATTGTGTAGGCTGGAATAAGTGCAGCGTCTGTGAAAACAAACATCTCTCTTGTAAAAATATGGTTGAAAACTAAAGTCTTAGTTTTAATTGTAAAGAAAGGAAGAAACAAACCTCCAAAAATGTCTAATGCAGTATCGAGAAAAACTCATTCAACAAACTTAACCAAAGACTTTATGGGTAAAATAAATCCTTTCCAATATCAGAAAGAAAAGCATTTCATTCGGACTTGAAAAGAGAAAAATAAACTTACCACAGTTGTTCTGTTAATGAACAGGCACCATTGTCTGAAACGACAAATATGTATTTTGATATTACAACAGTAAAACCACCCAAAACTTCCCAAATGTCTTCAAACACATGCTGGGGATGTATTTACAGAAACAAAATTCAATAAGCAATGACGATACCTTGCCTGATCTCAATCACTTAGTTATTTCAGATGAAAGTGTTTCATCATCACCATTTTAGGGCCAAAACAGATAATTGGTTGATTTTTAAAATGTCTTTATAGGCACCTCTGCCATATGTATATTTGGTGCCAATATATTCTTCTGATACACATTTTCAAAAGGTAGGCAGAAATACAGAGTCATCTGTTTATCACAATCTTGGTCAGGTATGAACACATCTTGAAATGTTTACCCTGATACACAGCTCTGATGAGGCAACACACGACACCTTCTTAGGGCTCAGAATTCTCTCTATGGTCTACACCAGCGGCTCTCAACCTGTGGGTCGCAACCCCTTTGGACTGTATTAAAGGGCTGCGGCATTAGGAAGGTTGAGAACCTCTGGTCCACACTAAAGAAGCTGACGTATTTAGCACAGTGTACAGGGTGTTTTTTCAGAGGTTCCTAGTCTAAGATTCTCTCCCATATTTCTCTCATACGCACTCAAACTCAAAGTTCACCTCCCAGTAAACTACCTTTCTCTTCTCTCCTCTCCTTTGCTCCTCCGCTCCCCTTCTCCCTTTCTCTCTCTTTCCCTTCCCTTCTCTTCTTTTTCCCTTCCCTTCCCTTTCCTCAAAGTTACTTTGACCTTTGCTCGGCCTCTATATTCTCTCTATCCTCCTTTTAGAGAATGTTCCATCTCCTAGGTGGCGCCGTCTTAACACACAGAGAAAGAACTACTCTTCTCTGTAGGGCCGTTTTCATCATATTTTGTATCTTTGTTATGGTCTTATCAGATTATATCTTTTCTTACAGATATGGATGTTTGTGCTCTGACTTTGTTCATTTTTGCCTACCCAGAAGCCTTCCCACTATGCCTCAGACATATGTGTCTAGAGATGGTAATGAGCTACAGAAACAACGCATTTAGTGTATAAATAACATGTTATCGACATGTCCTGTAGGCTCATCTAATAACCTTTAAGTAAAAATTGTAACCGGTCTGGACCTGTTGCAGTTAAAAAACTTTTAGTGTTGAAGAAATAGCAATATCTATTTGAAATATTTTAGGTTAATGAAAAGGCAAAGTAAGAAATTAAAGTTGAATATAAGTTTCTTTATTGAACAATGATTTTTATGCAACTTTATAATGACTTTTTCTACTATATGAGAATACCTTTCTTTTTCTTTCTATTTTTTTTAAAAAAAACAGTGTTTGTTTTCATGCTTGAATTCTATATAAAAATGTGACAATACTTGCGTGGTGGTGGCACATCACTTTTTTTTTTTTTTTTTGAGACAGAGCTGCAAGCTGTCACCCTGCGTAGAGTACAGTGGCATCACAGCTCACAGCAACCTCCTACTCCTGGGCTCAAGCGAGTCTCCTGCCTCAGCCTCCCAAGTAGCTGGGACCACAGGCACCTGCCACAATGCCCAGCTATTTATTTATGTATTTATTTTTGGTTGCAGCCATCATTGCTGTTTGGCCGGCTGGGCTGGATTCGAACCCACCACCTTAGGTGTATGTGGCAGGTGCCTTAGCCACTTGAGCCACAGGTGCCAAGCCAGCACATCACATGTTTTAAGTTGATTTTTTGAGGATCAGGGACAGATTTGCCTTGAAATATGAACATGGTCTGGAATGGCACCAGTTCACAGCTCAGGATGCCACTGTTCCTGTATGGCTTCCTCCGAGCCAACTTTGGATGGAATTAGAAAATGTTCTCTTAGCAAAGTATCTCATAAATGGAAGAAAAAGTATCCAATGTACACAGCCCTATTTGAAACTCATTCATAGCTTTCATAGGAATGTCATAACCTAATTATAGCCTTTAGAATATGAGGAGGGGGTGGAAGAGGGGAGATGGGGGATGGGGTGAGGGAGGGTGATTGGTGGGGTCACCTCTATGGTTTATCTTACAAGGGTACAAGTGAATCTCTAAAAGCAGAGTATGAATGTCTTAACTCAATAACTAAGAAAATGACATGAAGGTTATGTTAACCAGTTTGATGAGAGTATTTCAAAATGTATATGAAAACAGCACACTGTACCCCATGATTGCATTAATGTATACAGTTATGCTATAAGAAATAATAAAGGAAATTTGAATGGGAAAAAAAAAGAAATATGAACATGGTTACCCAAGGTGCAATAATGAAATCAGTAGCATAATCTTAGAAAAGGGAATCTAAAGGATTGATCAGATACCATTGCCTTGTTAGTAATTTTTTACTTCCAATCAATGGGGCCATATCAGACGCCACCTATATGAAGCATGGAGATATGTCACAGACCCTGCGTCTCATCATTCACAATTCTCTGGGCCCACTAACACTTCAGACTTCACAAGTTGGCAAATGAGTCTGTACAATTACTCCGTATCAGGTTTGTTTTGGCTTGCCTTAGATGATTATAAATTTGATAGCCCTTCATTTTATTAAGGACCTTTCTTACTGTTTTCATATAAAATATTAAATATTAAATAGAAAGTATTCTAAACAGAATAATAAAATGTTATATAATAAATAGAAAGGCTTTAACATGGGAATTAAAATTAAAGCAACGCTTTTATAATTTAGTGAGAAGGAGAGTTTTATTAGGTTCTTTGTACCTCAGTACACAATGTGATATTTTCACAGTCAGGTTCCTAGATTTTGTACTCCTCATTCCAATCCCCTCTAGTTTTCATAAATGCATCACTGGTCTGATTCATAATTAAGATCAATATGTATTTTTTTAACTTGTAATCCAGAGAAGCTCATTAAGTAGAATAATTCTTAGTAACTTAAAATGTGTTTATAAAAAAAAATAAAATGTGTTTATAGTTTGAGTTCACAGCTGTGGACATTTTCATCTACAAGGGTCAAAGTTTCCAAAGTGTGATAATGACAGTAATTAGCTATCATCATTGCAGCACTTTAAAAATATTAATAAAAATAAATGAGTCTTTATGATATTTATTACCAGAATACCATCTGTATTACTTTTACTTTCTTGAAAACGTAGTTCATGGCCCTTCCTGATTTGCTGAAGTTGCAGTACACGCAGATGAGGAACTCGCAGCCTTCCAGTGGGAAGAACCCCTTACTTTATTGTTGCCCTGCGCTTCTGTGCCAGAGCTGGCACAAATACAGAGGCTAAGGGACTTTAGGGACCTATGGCTTCCTGCAAACAATGATTCAGTGATAGTCTTCTATTTTGTTCTGGGGATATTTAAATGCATATTTTTCTTTCAAATGATTGGAAATTCCAAAGACCAGGACCTATCAAAACCTCTACTTCTAGTACAATAAAATATTTTCAATGATCTATAATTCCTAACCATGGATGTAATTTACCATTTTTTTCCATCTACATTTTCTTTCTTCCCAGTTCCTCCCCTTGGGCTGAATATGTTTTACATTTCTTCTCTTCCCACCTTCCATACTTTGATCAGATTCCTAGATGGCATCCACAAAATATAGAAAACTTTCCAAATGAAACAGAAGATTTGGTAAATGTATCATCAATTCAATTAGAGAGAAGAAGCAAGATACTGTTAAAAACTTTGAAGCTAGCAAGGCATTGTGGTGGGTGCCTGTAGTTCCACCTACTTGGGAGGCTGAGGCAAGAGAATCACTTAAGCCCAAGAGAGTTTGAGGTTACTGTGAGCTATGACTCCACAGCACTCTACTGACAGCAACATAGTGAGACTCTGTCTCAATTAAAAAAAAAAAAAATACTTTGAAGCTTTTGTTTTGGCTCCAGAGATGTTGGCAGGAGTGTGGGAATGCACTCATGCCAAATCAAATATTTATGGATAGCACACACACCTATAGAAAATTTCTCTTAAAAGAAGTTTCCTGAGGACTTTTGAGATGCAAATTTATTTAAATAACATTAGAATTAGCCATCTCCTTCTCCATATTTGAACATTTAATTCATATAAAGGATGTCTATTTTCTATAAAAGAACCTTGCTGTTCTGCATTCAGGAATAGAATGCTAAGTTGGATACTGTCCCAATATTGTGATCATAGGATTTGTTGGAAAATAAAGTGAAGAATAAATTAAATATGTATTATTACTTTCTCTGCATATCTGTACTAAGCAGGTGGTAGCAATAAGCCAGTTATTTCTGTATTGACTTGCAGAATAAATTATAGAAATAATTATAAAAACAAATGCAAATAGGTAGCCATTCTGGGAATAGAAATTATTTTGGTTATTTTGCAATGAAATTCTTAGGAGTTCCAGCAATGTCACTGAAATATATACACTCATATATATTACATTATCTTTCTGGTTGTGTCACATACACACACAAACACACACAGATATATACACAGGTGTTCAGAGGAAGTCTCCTGTTTTCTAATTGTGTCAGATTTATCTTTTCTTTGACATTTATTTTTCCTTACATCAAAACTGCAGACTTTTATGTCCCCTGTCAGTCACAGCAGAGTCCAGGGCTTGGTCTAAAGTGGCAGAAGGTAACTAGTAACCCGAAAAGGATCTGAGGAAGGAGGGAAATGGGTATTCCTGACCCTCCCTACATATGTTCTGTAACTATCCCCTGACCCAAAAGAATAGAGCCTTTCTTTGTAAAACTAGAAGGCCAAACATTAGGTTTAATATTTTTTTCTCCGTAACTACAAAGAAGTAGTACTTTAGCCATAATTACTTATGAGTTCTGCATCTTCCTTACAGCACTAACGTAAAAATACAAATTAAAGTTGGTCCATAAAAATGGACACAATTTAAAAAGTGTGCCAGATGTTATAAATCAACAGCAAACAATCCTATGCCATAAAAACAACTTTTAAAATACTTTTAAAAGAACTTTTAAAATAAAATATATAAGATATATTCTCTGTAATGCACAGCTAAAGTGCATAGAAATGTCCAGTGACCAT